GCCGGGCCCGGGCTGGGGAGGGGCAGCTCAGCTGAGCCCCCACGTCCCACCCCCGGGGTTTGGGGTGCAGGGGGGGCCCCGTCCCCGCTCACCTGCCCTCCGAGGGGCCCGTGAACCAGTACTTGTAGAGCTGGGCCCGCAGGAAGGTGGGAGGGCGGGCGCTGAACGGGTACCGGGACTCGTCCACCTGCACCAGCCGGATCACTGCGGGGCAACCACAACGGTGGCACCCCAAAACTGCTGCAGGGACACCCCGAAACACCACAGGGACACCCCAAACTGCTGCAGGGGGACACCCCAAACCACCGCAGGGACACCCCAAAACTGCTGCAGGGGGACACCCCAAAACACTGCAGGGACACCCCAAAACAAAACAGGGACACCCCAAAACAAAACAAGGACACCCAAAACTGCTGCAGGGGGACACCCCAAAACCACCACAGGGACACCCCAAACCAAAACAGGGACACCCAAAACTGCTGCAGGGGGACACCCCAAACCAAAACAGGGACACCCCAAACTGCTGCAGGGGGACACCCCAAAACACCACAGGGACACCCCAAAACAAAACAGGGACAACCCTGAACCTCCACGGGGACACTCTGAAATGCTGCAGGGGGACACCCTGAACCTTCATGGGGACACCCTGAAATTCTGTGGGGGGACACCCCAAGGCAGTGCAGGACACCCCAAACTGCCACAGGGACACCCAAAACCGCTGCAGAGACACTCAAAACTACTGTGGGGACACCCCAAACTGCTACAGGGACACCCCAAACTGCTGGGACATCCAAAACCACTGCAGCAACACCCCAAACTGCTGGGACACCCCAAACCACTGTGGGGACACCGAAAACCACTGTGGGGACACCCCAAACCACTGTGGGGACACCCCAAGCTGCCACAGGGACATGCCAAACTGCTGGGACACCCAAAACCACCGTGGGGACACCCCACCTGTCACAGGGACATCCCAAACTGCTGCTGCGGGGGGACATCCCAAACCACTGCAGGGACACACCCCAAAGCGCTGCAGGGGGACAACACTGAAACCCACCGTGGGGACACCCCAACCGCCACGGGGACGCCCCGATCCCTCCCCAGAGCCCCTCCCGGTGCCCCCCGTGCCCCTCACCGTCCCGCTGGCCCTGCAGCAGCCGCAGCACCAGGGAGCTGAACCAGGGGCTGCCGTGGTGGTGCCCCAGGGCAGCGAACCAGAGCTGCCAGTCCAGGCGGGGCTGGTGCGGGGCCACCACGGCCGGCGCCGCGCTCACGTTCCCGGGCTTGTACATGAACTCGATCTCCTGTGGGATGGCAGCGGCTGGCACCGGGATCTGGAGCCCCCCCTGCCCACCCTGAGGGTCAACAGTCCCCGTCCTGGGGGCTCCAGAGGGGAACGAGCCAGTGGGAAGCTTCCAGGGGGAGGTGGCCCATGGCACAGGGGTGGTCTGTAAGGTCCCTTCCCACCCCAAACATCCCGGGATGCTGTGACAGGGACACCTCAGAGCCCCGGGCAGCACTCCAGGGGGAAATGGGGGAATGTGGGAAAGGGCGGCAGGAAAACGGCCCGGCAGGAAAAGGACCCGGGGGCGGCTCTAAAACCAGGGAACGAGTGACAGGACAAGAGGAAACGACCTCAAACTGTGCCAGGGGGAGGTTTAGGTTGGATATCGGGAACATTCCTTCCTGGAAGGGACTGTCAGACACGGGAAGGGGCTGCCCAAGGCAGGGGTGGAGTCACCATTCCCGGAGGGATTGAAAAGCCGCGTGGATGTGGCACTTGGGGACATGGGTCAGGGGCAGCCTTGGCAGTGCCGGGGGATGGTTTGGCTCCTGCCCCCATGCCAGTCCCACACTCACCGTCCAGCTGTGCCCGTCGTAGCTGCCCTCCAGCACCACCTCGGGCCGCCCCCCGACCCCCGTCATCCTGCGGAAGAGCCCGTAGGAATTCACCACCTGGAAGCGCTCCACCGCCCCGAACATCCCGTGGATGCCGGGCCACAGCTTCCCGTTGGACTCGTGCTCGATGTAGGTGAAGGGCACCTGGCAGGGGCGGGAGGGGGGGTCTGTCACTGTGGCTCAGGGGGTCCCCTGGAGCCCCCCCCAGAACCCCCCGACCCCTCACCAAGCTGACGGCGAACAGGCTGACGGTGGCCGTGGCCATGATGGCCCACTGCAGGGTGGCCCAGAGCTTCCAGAAGCATCCACGGACACAGGCACAGCTGGGGGGGGCAGGAATGGGGCGTTAAGGGGACAAAGAGGCACCAGCCCCCCAGTTTGGGGGGGTTCCAGCTGTGAGCTGAGGGGTTCAGAGCCCCCCAACCCGCTGCACTTGACTGCTCCAACACTCCCAACTCCCGGAGCTGCATCACCCCCTGCCCGGCTCCCAGAGCCCCCCCCCAGCTCCCCCAGCACCCAGGGGTCCCCCACACCCTCAGGGCACCCCGGTGCCCCCCCGACACCCACCGGTACATGGCCAGCAGGATCTCCCAGGACAGGGACAGGAAGGCCACCCCCACCAGCGGCAGCGTCACCGTCCGCAGCCACGTCGTGAACTCGTGGTAGGTGAAGGCTGGAGCCGAGGGAAAGCATCAGGGAGGGGCTTGTCCAGGCCCCCCAGGGTGGGGGCTGAGGGGTCAGCGGCCCCCCCTGGACGTACCCACTTTGGAGTCCAGCAGCTTCTTGTCCCAGTTGACCTCCAGGCCGAAGTACTGCACGGTCCAGTAGAGCAGGAGCCCGTAGGTGTTGAGCTCCAGCAGCGTGGCCAGCACGGAGCCCAGGCTGGGGGGCCAGGCTGGGAGGGTTGGGGGGCTCAGAGCTGGGCTGGGGACCCCCCTAAGCCCCCCTGAGCCCTCGTGGGGTCCCCCATGGCCTCAGCCCCCCACCCTGGGGGCGGGGAGGGGCTGCACTGGCAGCAGCTCCCACGGTGGAGCCACAACGTCACCCGTCCCCTGTCCCCTACCCACCCCAGAAACAACTTGCTCCCCCCCAAAATGGGGGTCCCGGGGGTCTCACCACTGCCCTGCCGCTTCTTGGGGCGCCCCAGCCAGCGCCCCACGTGCTCCTCGTCCAGCAGGGAGAAGGCCAGGACGATGGTGAGAGCGTTGAAGAAGTTGTAGTTACCCGTGAGGATGATGAGCACCTGCAGCAGGACCTGGGGGGGCAGCAGGGACGGGGTGGGGGGGGTCACGAGGCTGGGGGGGCACGGGGTTGGGGGGCAAAGAACACTGGGCACCCCACCAGCACCACCATCCCATCTCCCAGTGACAGCAGAGCGAGGAGCCGACCCCCAGCCTCTGGGGACCCTCCAGGATGAGAGTAGGGGGTCACAGGGGGGGTCACAGGGCTGGGGGGTCATGGGGACAGAGGGCAGAGGACACTGG